TGTTGGCATTTCGTTTCTTCTTGTATTATTCTTTCTTGATCAAACATACCGGTCATGAGAGTGAGTAAAAATAATGAAAATAGTACCACAAGAATTAAAAAAAAAATGATAGTGAACAGTATAGGGAATCAATGTGTTGATATTAAGGTTTGGAACCAAGGTTAAGGGTGCACAGTTGCCTCCCATCAATGTATGGCCCTGGTTCAAGTGTTGGCATTGATGACATGTGGGTAGAGTTTGTTGTTTGTTTTTGTCCTTGCTTCAAGAGGTTTTTCTCCAGGTACTCCAGTTTTTTGCTCTCGTCAAAAACCAACACTTCCAAATTCCAATTTGATTTGGGACACATTTTGCCTAGTTCCTGTACGGCGTTTTCGCAGTCCCTCTCGGTCAATTCGTTTCGGTGACATATCCGAGGCAAACGGACCAGTTGACCCGAAACACTTTGGCAGTGAGGAAAAATGAGGCCTAGGGACTAGGCAAGGACACATTAACACTTACAAAGAAGTGTCTTGAAGTACCTAAGCACTTCATGGGTAAACAATAGTATCATTTCATGCAAATTTTCTTCCTTTTCATTGGTCGAGAGCCCACCATGTTATCTGCAAATAATTGTCCACAAATAATGGTCTGCTCATATGTAATGTCATCCAACTGTGTTCGGCTGCAATTATATTCTGCTTATGCGTAAATGAAACCACGCTTTTCTCCTTCTTGTGAATGCGTCCTTTCAAAGGGCAATTTGTGATCGAACAATGAAACAATTATTGAACTCAGAGGGCAACCTCATCCAGTATTGGTTGATTTTTTTCAAAAAATAAATCATCTAGGTGGTTTACATGCTTCCTTACCTTTTTTGTTTCAAACAGACTTTACTGAATGCCACTGTCCTTTATACTTACAGCTGCTCAAGAGAATCAAGAACAGAGATCAAATTCAAGTCAGAAGGAGGCACTTTCAACTGTTGCAAATAGATTTGAACTGCAAGAGGTCTGTCATAACAACCATAATGATTACTAGTTGGTTATTATGATCCCAGATAAATCATGTAGGAAGGTAATGTTCAAACGTGCAAATTCTTAGATTCACAAACATCAGTCTCCACTTCTAGATCCGAGTGCTAAATTTATACTCACATCATAACTCACTGAAATGTACATGATTAACATACAGCTTTTCCTTTTTCCTTTTCACAAGATCTTTAAACTCTTTTGTATTTGTTTTTATGGCAGAGACTCATGAATGCAGCAAAGCAGAAAAGGAAAGAATCCCCATATGACAAGTTGCGGCAAAGAGTGGTGGACATATTAGATGACATGTTCAGGTAACATTGAAGATCAGTAAAGAGTACAGAAGAAAAATATTGCAGAACAACTAAATTAATAGTCAATACAATAACAATAAATTAATTTGTTATTTTTTTTTTATCAGAAAATACCTGTCTTGCCCACGTAACCTGCCACTGAATGAAGTTATGTACTATGACAATGTACAAACAACAAGAAAGGTTTGGATGCAAGTTTTGTTTTATTATTTTTTAATTTTATTTGAGTTTATTTGTACCCTATTTTTACTTTTAACGTATATTTTTACTTGACTGTTTTTTATCTTTTACCAGTGTATGATTAAGTTTTATCAGAAACCCATAACCCCTTATGAGTTTCTGGTTTTGTAATAATTATTACCGGTATTATTGCATTTTGTATGTACTGTGCCATCTTTTCTTAGTTATGCTTAGTTCCCAGTTATGTCTTTCATTTTAAATGAATTATTGTAATGAACACTGGAGTGTTGGAATGTATTGAACAGGTGTGCACTTAACTTGTAAATAAATATAATGAGTGTCAGTGTATTTAGAACAAAAGCGCTAGTAAAGGACACTATACATCCCCTACTGGAGACAAGACCACCATTTTACGTGGTCTTTGGAGCCATGTGAAGGTCAAGCCATTTGCATGGCAAAGGCTATTCAACTTTCATTCCATAATTATTTTAAAACATTGAGTATAAGCTAACCTAGCTAATTCTGCCATTGTTAACATTTAATGTTTATTCTGCAGTCAATTACAGAACTGCACACAAGTCATGTGAGAAAATTTTTGTTTTGTCACTGATTATAGCATTTGGTTGGAATGCCTCGTGTTGCTATCCAAACAGCACTCAGCAATCCTCAGCATTATCTTCAGGTCAGTATTTGCTTGATACACGATGTTAATGCATTTGATTTGCAAGAAAGAAGCATGACTGGAAAGTCAGAGGCGAGAGATAAACCACAGGCTAAAATTTTCTTCTGTTGAGAAACAGCTCTTCTTTTTTCTTATTTTCAGTGTCAATGTTGTCAGACCGATGTAGGAACAGTCCAGGATACATTACCAGACATATGCATAGCTTACAAACTTCACCAGGAGTGTGGCAGGTTGATTAACCTCTATGACTGGCTTCAGGTAAATAAATGCACATCATCATGATGTTACTTTAGATTAGCTGTTGGCTCCTAACCCTAAAAGCCAATTGGTTCGATACCCTAACTGTGAAACAATGGGAAATAATGATAAACAATATGTTATTGTTTTCTGTGACCAATGAGGAAGCACCTTACAAGCAGCTCTAACATTACTGACTGTCGGGGGAGGTTCCAATTGTCAGCCAGACCCATAGGATCTGTAAGTAACTTGTAAGACCTTGCTGGTGGTTGGCAAGACGTTAATTGACACAATGTCTTAGCTTTGGTAACTTACTTGTAGTTTTAGTACTTGGGGATGCAAAGCAGCCCTTATCAAGAAACATAATGCCCAGACTTGGGGTCTGTTCTGTTTATGTTCATGGGTTGGGAGGGTGAAGTGGCATCATAAAAATGTAGTGGTAGGCAAATGTGGGTTCAAGCACACTCCATCCATAAGAGATGGAACTTAAAGCAGTGTCAGATTTCATATGATGCGGGTCTTAGTACCAGTCTGTATTTTATTTTAAAGAGCTCACCAAGTTTTACAAAATCCTAAAGTATGGTGTTTATTGTGCTAATATTGAATGAGATACAGCCAATCAAAAACTCCACACATCACAAAGAATTATGTAAACTGGTCCATACGTTTCTTGGAGAAATTTAAAGATTTGGAATGTCTGTATCTTGGCAAATATGATGGGAATTGTCCCATAGCAAGGCATCTTTGTTATCATAAATATTTTATTATTTACTTCTGCTTGGATTCTGAGAGCCTACCATACCTTTTGTATCCAAGTGACAAACATTTGACAGGTTGTCACACTTCTTATTTTGATGCTCGAAAGCCCTCTTTTTTTTCCTCAGGCATTTATAGCCGTTCTTGAGCCCTCAACAGAACAGGAGTCCTCAAAAGGCACACCAAAGAAGAAACAGAAAACAGATGAACAGCTTCAGTATCTTTTTTTCATTAATTTAATTCCTTACCTAACAGTTTTGTAAGTGTCTGAATTGCCCTGCAGGCCCTCTTCCATTTCTGGCATGTTAAGACCTCTAATGCATGTTTCTTTACAGTTACTTTGGAAAAATTTCCAAAGTAACCATTAAAGTTTCTTAATTTGCCTTAACCTTACTTACAGCGCTCGCTTCATTCAAGCAGTCTCTGAACTACAATTTTTAGGATTCATCAAATCAACTCGACAGAAAACTGATCATGTACAAAGGCTCACATGGGGTGCCTGTTGACAGAGAATCATGTTATAATATTTTGATTCCCATAATTCGGGGCTTTACACTTACTACCGTATCTGTCATGTTTGCCAGGACTTACTACCAAGGCTACAAAAAAGGCTTCAGCTAAATCTGACTGCCACTAACTGATCATTAGCATGAATTAGTGGTTTGTTATGATGTATGTTAGAGTTTTAAAGAGCCACCACCATTTTTTTGTGGTCTGCCATATCTAATCACACAGGAAGAAGTGTGGCTGAGGGCCCGCAACAATGATGTACAGTATACACTAAAGGCATGTACACACTCATATTTGCATGAGTCAGGGTTGAGTTTTTTTTTTTTCAAGAGAATCAACAAACCAGAGTTACTGACATGAATAACTCTATCTTGGTTGGCATGTAACAAGACTGGCTGCTTATGGTGTCAATGAAAATTGCAGAACAAGGTTTCCTTTTGAAGGCAGGCTGACCTGCTGGATGAAATCTCAGTTCAAGCAGCCAGGATCTCTGAAAGCGGCCCAGCCCACCTTCTCATAAAAACACATTACAAATTTTATGAGGAAACAAGGCATGAGCTGAGCGGCTTAGCCAGGCGGTAAAGTGGGCCAGAGCAGCTAACCAGGCTGGCTCACCTCACTGACACTTTTTTGATATTTTAATGGAATATCATCCTATCAGCTACACAGTGATGACTAGTAAGATATGCATCCCAGTGAAGTCTAAATGCAATGTGAATTTTTTTTCCCCTGAATCTCTTTACCATGTTTACAACATAAAAACAACCTAAGAGTTAACAAAATAAGTTTATTCTTGTATTTAAACAAGCATGTTTGTTTGTACAAAATACACATGAGAAAAATTCTCACAAAACAGTTTATATAATAATTATTGTTAGAAAATGTTATTTAATAAAGAGCTACTTGTATTTCAGTTCATTTCATTTCATTTCAGTGATCTTATTCATTACTTTGAAGTATAAAACATTAAGTGTTGCATGTTCTGGTGTTGCTCGTGTTGCTCTTGTTGCTCTTAACACGAGCAACAGATGGTTATTTGTGCGCAAAATCGTTGCAACTTGCAAAGTTTGCAAGAGGAACAGGTGAGCCCTTGGGCACCTTATCATACCAAACCAATTTCAGTAGTCTCATGCTGTAGTGTTTGAATTCTGCACTTCTGATTTTTCTGGTCCACCAGAATTAGGAAATTCTAATAATTCCTGGGTCTTCAAGGATGACTATTTAAAAGTCACAGCTACAGAGTAGTACTACTGTCATCCTGATGCTTATTAATATTAAATAATTAATATTTTCTTTAAGCTGCCATGTCTTTATTCATCCTAGTTTTATTTTCTTCTTTTTGCTGTCTTTTGGCCAGTTTCCATCAGCTGAGGTCTGAAAGACGGGCACAAAGTGAAAAAAAAAACATGTCTTTAGTGCATGTAGTACAAAGCTTTTCATTCACCACAGCCAAGCTGGGAATTTGCTGACTTTTTCGCCAATTTGAACAATATTATACCTGAACTTGAAGCGTTCCTGCACTGAGCCCATCTGATATCATTTCATGAACTTTCTTTACTTCTTCAAATGTAACAGCAAGACTCTCCTTGAGACCTGACAAAAATAAAATTCAACAGGTAGATCTGACAAAGTCAACAAAAATCTGGAGACTATGTGAGAAAACCGAATGATGGCAACAATATTGATCAAGAACTGTTGGAGAACTTCAAGTACCTTCTGAGGCCTTTTGTATCACATCCATCTGTTTTCCAAAGTTGTCAAGCTAAAATGTTTTCAAAAAACGTCCATTAACAAAAAAATTCAAAAAACAGTACTCTTTAAAATCAGGGTGCGGTTCCTGAGAGGCCAATTAGTGCTAATTTAGGATTAAAATTTTGTTCCTATTTTGTATTTTACCTTCCTATGTATTGCTTAGAGAAACAGTTTGTGTCATTATTACTGTGTCGCAGAGTAGAGGCTCAACAGAATTTATAACCTTGAGTTGCATGTCCTTAGACAAGATAACCTGGCTTAATCCTGGGTTAAAGTTAACTATCCTTCGAGGAACCGGGCCCAGAGCTCATACCCAACATCCAACATTATTCACCTGTTCTTGTGCATTATCCAAATCCTTTACTTCCTGTTTCAGTGCCGTATTTACATACTTGGCCTGTTATTATAAATTAGAAGTGGTGATCAGTAACTGTTAACCAGCAAACAAAATATCAATTTTTATTTCTATTAATGCACAGCACTCAAATTGGGAAGGTTGCTACTTTCTAACTTATGAAATGCAGTGGAACACCACGTTTCAACCACCTCTTGACAACCAAAGTAATTTGGCTAAAAAATAGACACTTTTTTTTGTTGTTGTTGGCTTAACCCTTTAAGCCCCAGTATCCACATACAAATTCTCTAACCTGATCTCCATACATTTCCTTTAAGAATCAGTTGAGAGAATTTAACAAAACATGACGGCAATTTCTCTTTCATGATCATTTTTTATATTCTCACAACCTTATCTCTTGACAATCTATGGACATTGTTAGGAGAAAATTGCTGTTGGTCACTATCGGGACTTAAAGGGTTAATGACAAAGTGGCAGGGGTTGGGCTAAAAAATTTTGTGGAGGTATGCACAGTTTTCCAAATCAATCCAACACTGTTTCCCCAATTGTTTTCATGTGTGTGACTTGATTACATTTCCATTTTTTAAATCTGGTGAGGTGAAAATCTCCTTTGGTCTCAGGACTATGAAAAAGTCCATGATCAATACCGAAGGTGCACACTGTTTTATTCCCTTTTTTGTTACGTAAAACTCAATGCATTTCCCGTCAACGCGGTAAAAATTGAAGACAAGTGAACGGAACAAAAAGATAAAAACAAGAACACATTTTTCAGATGCATGTACTGGTGTACAGGTAGCTACTCCCCTTTGGTGGCAACTGCTACACTAAACTTAACTTAAGTACTCCTCTTATCCCCCCTCCCCCCGACCACAAAAAAATGCAGAAAGTTAACGAAGCCTGAGAAAATAGCTGACCTTTGCCGACACCACTGGTTTCCCAAGTGTAGAGAAATTCCAAAATGAAGATGTGTCACTACCCAGATCTGGGCAGAGCTTCCGATTGGCCGTGCAATGTGGGAACTTTGCTTCAAACAATTTGGTTGAAGCAAAGATGTTGCATGACCAAGCACTACCCAGATCTGGGTAGTGACACGTCATTAGAATGGAATTTCTGTGCTCCTTCCTCAGATGTTGTTTTCCAGGGAAAACGGTGGTGGCATTTCAAAATGTTGGCTGTTTTCTCAGGCTAAGAACATTACAAGGTCCAAACTCTAATACTTTCCGCGACACCTGTACTTACTGCTTTGATTTTTCTTTCCAGTTCTTCAATCTCCTTGTCAACCTTTTTCTCATCTTCCACTGTATATAGTTTATCATGGTGCACCTGACCAGACCAATGAACAGTTTTTCAACTACTTCATATCATAAATCTAACATAGTAGCTGTGTGCTAAAAAAATCCTTGGCTTTAAAGTTAACTTCCTTAGTTCTAATGTACATTAATGGGTCAAAAACAAAGAAAGATAAAAACTGGAAGCAAGTAAGTAAGTAAGAACAGTATTATAGTGTCAAGGTTGCTAGTATACGTTGTACACTAACTAAGGACACCTAACTACAATTACTTGTCTAATAGTCAATAAAATAATCCAATAATCAACAAAATAAGGAATGTATGTCCATATGTAAAATCAGTTATTACTTGTTAAATACAAAACAGTCTTTACAAGTGCTTTTCTTTAAACCAAATTAGTCACACCATAGGATATTATCTTCACACTCTACATTTAGAACATACTAGGATAGTACCATGTGAAAATACTACCGAATCAAGGTTTCACTCTAATGGTAGCACCATAGGATTTCATACACAGACTGGCAACCTCCTTAATAATAAGCGTCTTCATATAAAATTAAGTGACAAAATTAATGACAAAATCACATTGGGCCTTTAGATGGTAATTAACCTGATGGGAAATAGTCATTTTTTTACCTTATCTTCAGGTAAGAGAACATGAGGAGGAATTTTTAAGATGTTTTTCTTTACATAGATCTGTGAAAAACAAATCAACAAATTATAATAAATAATAATATTATATTTAAACAACACTATAGTTACATGTACAGGTATTCAAACACTGTTAGCAACGTTATGATAAACCATTCCTTTGTTTCCTACCTCAAATCTGTCAAAAGCCTCGTCTATGCTCTTGTAGAAATTATTAGCCATTTTATCACTTTCCTAGGTGAAATACAGAATTACAGTAATTTCATTGTTATCAATATTATTATTATTGTTTAACAATATTCAGATCTGTATGGGCAATGATACAATAGTAATCTGATGGGAAGCCTTTGTGAACACCTAAGTGGCATCCCTAGCCTGCGAATGCAGACGTATTTCCGGTTGTAGCTTCTCACCACCCAAAAAGGGTGGAGAGAAGTGACAACAGGAAATATGTCTGTAATTGGAGGCTATGGCAACCCAGGAATTTTTAGGGCTGAAAACCTTCAAAAAATTACTGGCTCCATCATCAGACCAAAAATGTTGTTGGTCTTTGCTGAAGCGGCTGCTGCCTTTAATATTTTGTAGTGAATCATACCTCGTGAAGTTGTTCTTGATTAACATTTCCAGACAGTGATGGCTGTGAAGAGAGTAATAGTTTTCAAGTTAAATAATCACATAAATCAGATGTTCGTGGTTGGTATTCAACTGGACTGGGGTGAACAGCTGTAAAGAGGTGGGGGTGGGGGGTGAAAGAGGAGGACACTACGTGGATTGGACTGGGTCGGTTCAACCCCTGTAACCCTATCCCTAAATTTTGTTGTTTAGTGAATCACAGAGGTAGCTTGATCCAATCTGGTCCAATCCAGGTAGCATCCATAGTGCCAACTTTTTTCAGGGCAAGGGAAGAAATCTCGACAACTCATGTTCCCCTCGCACAGCCTGTTATGTAATAATTACCGGCGCCTACTACAAGGCTACGATTCAGGTTTTGTTGACCCTTGGTGGTGGGCAGGGGTGGGGGTATCCCATATGTCAGATTCTTGCTTGCACTTCAAAAAGCTAAACTGTTGTTATACGGAAAACATCTAAGCCTGCGATACGGATTACTTGAAATTTGAACTTTTTTAACTTTTCTTGTCTCTACCCCACTCCAAACAGGCCCTTGCCCACTATCCACTATCTATTTAGGACGAAGTTCAAAAGTGAGTGCTGTAAAGTGTCAAAGCATACAGACTATAGATTCAAACTCAATGTTAAGACCTACCTCGCTTTTGACAAGATTTTCAAGTTCTTGAAAGCAGTCAACCACATAGTCATTAACAGCATTATAAACTGAGGAAGTAATACACAAAAAGGAAAAGTTCTGTGGACACAAAAACTATCTCAGCTGAGTTAAGTTGATTAGCTTTCTAAACAAGATGACATTAGAACTCAGTCTTACCTCCATTTACGAATGAATCTGGAGTGAATCCAAAAAACTGAATTTCATATTCATATTCTCTAGAGATTTGGGTAGTATTTTGGTCCATCTTGTACTCACAATGTTGAAAAATACACCAGGCAATTGCAAACTTGATTACAAAATGGCAGCTTCGAAGTGTCGGAAAAACTCCCGCCAAAACAAATTAAAATACTTTATAAGCAGGGTGGGGTAATCAAGGTTTTATTTTATCTATATCAAACTTGAAATAATCATCATAAATGTTTTTGAAATTAGTCTAAATTTAAAATTTTTATATTTCCTGTTTATTTGTTTTTCCAAAGACTATTTTAAAGCAGGCAAAAAAATCGTTTTTAGCAAAACTTTTCTCTAACTTACCCCCTCCCTGTGACGCTTTGCATGACAGTCGCGCATGCAGAGACTGGTACTAGTGTCACATTTTCTGATCTTATGTTTGTTTGCATTTCACAACGGTCGTACTGTTTTGTAGCTGACAAGTTTTCAACGACTTTTCCTGTGTTCTTTTGGATATAAAAGATAAGAAAGATAAGACATCGACATCCTTATGCCTTTCATTTAGGTAAGTCGTAGTTCTACTTTCGTTCAATCTTCAAGATAGTTTAAGTCGATCACAAAACATGGCGTCGCGTCACGCTAGACAATTGATTATATTAATTTGAACTTCCTTCAAAGGATCTTGAAATTTCCTGGGGTTCTTTAACGACCTTAGAAAAATCTTTCAGGATCGTGCTCTACGGGAGGAAGATCGATGGTTTCATTTCACAAGCTATGTCCACAGATGCGGTTCATGAAAGTCACAAGTTAGAAAACATGCATCATGCAAGTTTCTACGGTCACCACTGTCATTGAAGTGATGTTTCTTTTTTTTGCGATTGTAGCGGAAAATCTAGTAATTTGCAAAGAACTTCAAGATATTGACATGTTCTATTTCAATCTGTATGATAAGATTACTCTTATTATGTATGATCATGTAGTTCAGTTTATATTGCACTAATTCCACTCATACTGGTAAGTGCATGCATCTTCAATATTTCTTTTCGTCACGAAAATAAATTTTTTCAACTTTCTTCTTGAGATCTGGACGTTTTTTCCCAGCAGCTGGTCCGATTTTAGGTCTATGAGACATTTACAACATTCCTATGATGCCATTATCCTAGCTATGTTAAATATTTTCACGTACAGTGGAACTCCATTAATACGATCACCAATGGGCCAAAAAAATTTGGCCATATATTTAACGAGGTGACCATACTACCGAGATGGCCATAAGGCGGGGTTTTACTGAGCGTAGTAGTAAACGTTTCCTTTCCTTGGTAGCTATAACTCAGATTCTTCTCCTTGATGTCCACAATGGACTACAGCCCTCAGTCCACATCATCCTCTCTACCATACAATACCAGTGTGACGCAGACCATGTCTCACCGTCTACTACAGTTCTGAGTTGTGCAGGCGAACAAATTAGGACATTGAGGACTATAAAGTGGGGGAGGAGTCTATCCATCACCTCCCAGTAGTAGGTACTTCCCGGTACTTGGTAACCATTCTTATATCCATTTAGAGTGTTTCATTTCTATTATTATTTAATAGACCCAGTTCAAACGTTGTGCTTCTACCATGCTGATCTCAATTATTGTATTCAACAGAAGCACAACTTCAATTCAGACACTGTGCCAGAGTTGAACTCAATTGTAGATGTAGTATTAAGTCAGCTCTAAATGGCACAAAAAATATACATTCCAGAAAACACATTTCCAAAATTTATGAATTTAATTTGACATGGTATAAGCACAACATTGGAATCACCGCTATGCCAGAGTTGTGTAGCATAGCAGACCTTGTGGTATTTAATTGCTCTGCCGAATCAAACTTTGATTCAGATGTCTTGCTTCTGCCGTGCTTTTGTCAAACTGAATTCTTCAATTACGTTTGGCAAGGCAGAAGCACAACATATGAACTGGGCCTTATATTGCCATTTGCAGAACATTTTACATTTGTAAGACATATATACAGGGCTGTCATTACGAGCCAGCGGCCGCGAATTTTCCCCGGCTATTATGAATGTGGCCCCCAGCTAGTTGTATAGGAAAATAGAACCAAAAGAAACCTCTAGCTGTTTGATTCCCCGTCTACTTGTTGTATTTACCCGGCAACTCGAAATCTTAATAACATCCCTTTATATAAGCTACACACTTAAAAAAATATAAACCCCTTTTTACTTGGTCATGTTGTTATATGTATTGGTATTAAACATGGTATTCACATTGTTACTGGTGCAATAAGCTGAGGCATGCACATGTCTAGAATCAAACAATCAAGCAAGAATTTTTTTGAGGTTGCAGGGGGTCATTATTAATTTTTATCGTCAGGTGCATTGACTGAATTCAAAATGTGTCATAGGGAAACGGAGAACTCCCCTCGATCATCAGTGCTGTACTTTGGGGGTCCTATAGCAATCCTCCTTTCTCCTTTATCATTTTTTGGATTGGTGCTGCTAATATGGGGTGCTTTAATCTAAAAGGATTGTCATAATCAGAGCTGTTGCAGTACCTTCCAGGTGTTGATCCTAAAATTTAGAGCTGTTGGCTTCTCAACTGATTTTGTGGTACCACAGGCAGACCAACCTCTGTTTGTGTGGCTGTTGTTGTTTTTAAAAAATTTGAGCATCAGTCTTTTGTACTCAATAGAACAAATACAGTTGAACATTACGGCAGCTACAATTTACTCCAAAATACAGATTTGAACCGAAATCTTCAAGCGAAATGTTGACTTAGTTATCTGTCATGTTTTTACTACTAATATTCTGTATTTCAGTTTAAATCTGTATTTTGGAATAAAATGCAGCTGCCGTAATGTTCGTCTGTATTTCTTCTATTGAGTACTAAAGACAACAGTAGCACAACAATGGCCACACGAGCAGAGGGTGGTCTGCCTGTCGAAAGTTGAAATTAATTTCAAGGCCTGAACCCCATAAAGTGAGTGTCTGATACCTTTATTAGGGGCATTCTACAAATTTTCTGAACACCACCACCATTGTAACACATGAGTACCCTTGATGGGGCTCTTCCATTCCCTAAATCCACCTAATGAGGTCATTGTTGTTTACAGCAAGGACTTGACTTTAGCAGCATCACAAATGCAGATATCCAGGAGATGGAGCAAGTTAGGGGACACCTTCACATGATGCTGCAAAACTGCAAAGGGTTCTCAGATCAGGGAGATTATGATCATGCACCAAGTACCACAACTGCAGGTGAATTAAGGAGTGGATAGCCATTATAAATTATAATTACTATATATTATTGGGGGTGAATCCTTGAAAACTAAGAAAAGTTTTAATAGAATTTGAAATGATATTATTAGTATTTATTATTATTATAAATATTAATGTACTTAAATGCAATTTAAAGGAGTTAAAAACTAAGAGAGCTCTCAGTGCTAGAGATCCACAGTTGTTCGACATGGGCATGCCCAGTATTTCACTACATCCTTCATGTGTATTCAGTGGTGCCAGTGCCACAAGGTTTCTTTCAGCCATTTTCTTCTCCACCCTTCCTCCATACTCGACAAATAGGGAGAAACAATCATCTGTGTTCTGTGTTTCCTCCTACACTACTTTCATGTTCCAGCTGCTTCCTGTGTGCTTAACAACAGAACAGAGCACAGTCAAGGCATCTTTATTTGTTACACATAAAAATTTTATGTGATGATTTCATGATACTTGCAGACTACCCTGCCCTTGTTGGGCTTGAGAAATTAGATTTCAACTTTTTGCTTTGAAGTAAAGCATTTTCATATTTTACAGATTATGAAACCCAAGACAATGACGGGGAGAAAGAATCTGTTGTTAGTGTGGACACCACAGCTTTGTTGCATAGACTGCTGCCAAATTCTTCACCACTTTCAGAGCTACAGGTATGTTAGATTTTTTTATTCTACAGTCTAACAAAAATGATTGACCTCAAAATTCTCAAAATAGTTCATCAGGTCCCAGTTCTTTAAAAAGGTGGATAGCAGTATCCAGTGAATAACACAAACAGTTTCCCTAATACTTATCTACTGAATAGTGATTTATCGGTTGTTCAAAAGTTGGATAACGCTATCCACCGGATAAATTGCTATCCAGAGGATAAGTATTAAGAAAACCAATTATTGCGCTATCCTTTATTCAGTGGATAGCGCTATCCACCTTTCAAACAACTGGCAGCGTGCAAAGAAAGTACTGTCCGATACCCCGGGGCTAGTGGATTTTACTATCTGGCTAGTGAATTCTGTTTCTAACTTGCCCGACAGGCAAGTGATGTTTTATGAGGAATTTGAATAACAGAAGAACAAAAAGTTTTTGGGGCTAGTTGAAATAACGACTGGGCTAGTAAATGCTAGCTTCAGCTTGCCCGAATGGCAAGCTGTAAAAATGATTTTCTTTGCACCCTGAACTGGGGGCAGGTGGATAGTGCTATCCAAAATTTGAGCAACCAGGGCCAGTCCATTATCTAGTAAATAAAGAATGGAGAAGACTCATTCATGATGGTTGGCTCAAGTACAGTGTATAAGCTGCCAAACACAATGTATATGAATTTTCATTTGGTTTATACAGTGTAGTTGCCTAGAGTTATTCATGAAACCTTTATTTGTTCACCCAAACTGCGAGGACTGGTTTCTTCTCGCGATGCTAAACTATGATTTGTGGCGTCCGGTGTAGAAACCTCTGCTTGTAGAGTACTGTTCCTTCAACGAACATTGTTCTGACAGAGTCACTTCTTCATATGAATCACTCTCACAAATTCAAGTCTGAATATGAAGGAAACAAGAGCGCTCTTGTTTTACATGTATATGTGGACAAAATTCATAACGATTGAAATGATGCTACTTTTATTGCATTCCATATCACGTTTTTCTTCTTCTTTGACCACTCTCTCACCCCCCGCCCCTAACCCCCTGCTGACTCCAAGAGTTTTCTGACCCAAGGGCCAATTGAAAATGCTTTCATCTGTCAGACCTGACTCAACTGATTAGGAACTTAACATGACTGGATATAATAATTATTAATACGACCAAGAAACACTGTAG